AGCCCTGGATGGACCCCTGTGGGGCTTCTGGCCTTCACCGGACTTCTCCCTCCCCCCCCAGGTGTGGTCACCAAGATGAAGATGCAGCGCACCATCGTCATCCGCAGGGACTACCTGCACTACATCCGCAAATACAACCGCTTCGAAAAGCGGCACAAGAACATGTCGGTGCACCTGTCTCCCTGCTTCAGGTGAGGAAATGCCGCAAGAGGGGCTGGCGATCTGGTTGCCCTGTGGGGTCCTTGCAAGCCCAGGCTAGCTCCGCTCAGGTCAGGTGGTAGAATTAGCAGGCACCTTTTGGTCAGAAGCTGCTATGCTTTGAGATCCAATCTGGAACCCGGGGACCAGCGTGGCCCCCTGCCATGGAAGTTGGGGCAATGGCAGCCTGCGTTTTTACGGCTTCCCATCTTGCAGCTTTAAGGCTTCTGGACTTCTCCCAGAATTCCGCAGCCAGCTGTGCCTGGTAGGGAATTCTGGGAGTTGAAGTTTGCAGGTCTTTAAGTTGCCCAGGATAGACACCACCCCCCACCCCCCCACCCCCGGCCTAGAGCAAGCCCTTTGGTGATGATGTATAATCTCACGATGGTCTGCAGAGCCCTCGAGTGAACGGGGCATTGCTGAAAACGCCAACCTGGCACTCACTGAACCAAAGAGCTGCTCTGCTTTGGCTCGCCATGGCCCCAAAATGCCTGGCAACTTGGCAAGCTTTGCCTCTAAGGCACAGCGGGATCGGCCTTGCCTGTCCACCTGATGTGGTCGGTGGCGACTGCTCTGGTCCTGCAGTTGCAAAGCTGCCTTTTGTGGTATTGTTAGACTGGACACCATCAAAGCTGACACCAGCCAGAGCATAGAACAAGTCAGAGTTGGACACGATTGAATGGAGAACAGCATTCAAGGGAGGTGGGGCTTAGTTCTTTTGTGACAATGTCAGGAGTCTAAACCGATGACACCTTTAACCCCACCTTCCAACTCAGCCTCTTCAACACCCTCGATCTGCATTTGACTTGCAGGCAGCTACTTTCAGTGCTTGCATTTCTTGTTGGCGAGTCTAAAGCTCTCTTCTGTCCTTTCTCTTCCCCCCACTCCAGGGATGTGCAGATTGGGGATATTGTGACAGTGGGAGAGTGCCGCCCCCTCAGCAAGACTGTCCGGTTCAACGTGCTCAAGGTGACCAAGGCTGCTGGCACCAAAAAACAGTTCCAGAAGTTTTGAAGGCTATTTGTACTTTTCTTTGTATCAATAAAGAAGCTGGTGTGATTTGAACGCTGTCCTTTTGCTAACGGCAGGCGCCTTCCTCCGCGTTGGGAAGACCAGGAAGCGCCTGGCAAAAGGCCTCTTGCCAGACCTGGCTTGGAGCCTTCAGGGGACAGAAGCAGCAGCGGTGCCCGTCCTTCGCTTTCTGTGCAGCGGAAGTGAGGGGGGCCTTGGGAAAAAGGGCATCAACAGAGTTGGAAGGGACCTGCGAGGGCTTCTAGTCCAACCCTGTGCCACAAACGGCTGTCCAATTTCACCTTCAAAGCCTCCAGTGATGCAGCACCCACAGCTGCTGGAAGGAAGCGGTTCCACTGGTTAATTGTTCTCCCTGTTAGGCAGTTTCTCCCTAGTTCTAGGCTGGTTCTCTCCTTGGTTAGTTTCCAACCATTGGAAAAACAATCCGGGAACACAATAGAAAGTGGAAATGGGAGAAGCTGCCGAGCTTTCTGGGGAGGCGGTTTTGAGGCCTAAAGGGGGACGAGGCCTTTTCTGGGGAGGGATGGCCCGGGCTCTCCTCCAGCCCTTCCTAGAGGGACAAACTCCCTTAAGGCTCCCAAAGTCTGTTGTCATTCCGGATCTGACCCAACCCGGAATTACCCCATGTAATATTGGAAGTTAGAAACAACTACCCAAAAGTCACATTCCCCAATAGAAGTAAATCAACGTTTGCCTGAGGTCCTCAATCTCCACCTCCAGGTCTCAGCAGGGCCGGCTTTTGTTTCCACGGGAAGAAGGACCACCTAGCCTCAACAACTCTCTCTAGCCCCACTCCTCCCCCCCTTAGGAATGTGGCAAACCCCAAACCCTCCCCACCCCATAACCAGCAAAGGGAAAGAAAGAAAAGGAATATATAATAAGGCTAAATGAAATGGCAATGCGTAGGTCAATTTTGGGCCTGCCAAGCAGGTTTGTGATGACTGTTAACATTGCCTCGCTTAGTGAACCCCCATACCTCCTCCCTGATCATCTTCATTTAATGGCCCCATAATCCCTTGCGGGACGGAGCCTAGGCAACGGGATGGAGCTAGCAAGAGTGTTTTAATGGCTGGATGCCCTTCCTGTCGCCAATGCGGAGTTTTGTTCGGCAGATACGATCTCATTGTGCCCAGAGAGGAACACCTGCCTCCACCTAGGATTGAACTCACAGCCTCCTGATTGCGAGGCAAGAGCTCCACCTCCAGGCCACCGTCCCACTCCACCTTCTCTCCCTGATGCAGTCATTAAATGAAGCCTGGGATGCATGGGGGGGGCGGGGGGGGGCCTGGGAGGTGCAGAGCAGGCGCGGGCTGGGGGCTGGTGCTGAATTGGTTGGGAATCTCTCCGTGAGTAATGGGAGGACCCCACGGGGCCCTTTGGCCTGGGGGATGCTGGCAGGGTCCGGGAGGGATGGTAGACAGAGGAGAAATGGGGAAGGGCTTGGGGATACGCCCCCCCTCTTGGGAACACGGCCCCCGTGTCCTGGACCAGCCCCCCCCCCGCCTCTTCCCCAAGGCCTAGTCACTGGAGAGAGGCCCCTCCGGGCTTTGGGCTGTTCCTGCTAAATGCTGGGTCAGCCTGGAACAAAGCCTCCCATTTGCCCCTCTGAACTAGGCAGGGTGTGGTTTCTCTGGCTCAGGTCATACATGTGCGTATAGGCATAATTTTGTGTGTATTTTGTCATGTTTATGTCATGTGTGTTGGAGGTGGTGACCCTTTTGAGAGCTTGTGGGGTCTTCTAGACCAGCCCCTTCCTGCTCAGGCAGGAGACCCCAGACCACTTCAGAGCAAGGCTTGTCCCGCCTCTTCTTTCAAACCTCCAGGGACGGAGCCCCCACGGCCTCCGGAGGGAAGCTGGTAGAAAGCTGCCTGCGGGGATGGCCGAGGGATCCGGTGAAGGGAAACGGAGGGCTTCTCTTCCTTGCTTGCCCTGAGAGATACTTGCAGGATCCAGCAAAGCTCTTCTTACCTTGCTAATTGAGTTCCGCTTAGCAAACGGTAAAAAGTAAATGCAATTGCAGATACATTTTATTTGCAAAATAAAACTTGAAAGTAAGAAAGGGGGCCTTGCCTCCCTCATATTATGAAGCCTCCTTAACTATTACTCTTCAACCAAGAATTCCTTTTGGGGGGAGGGATTGGGGGAATATCACAGGGGGGGGGGGAAGAAGCTCCAGGGCAACCCTGAAGGGCCAGTTTGCATGAAACGCGCAACGGAATGACTTTGGCTTCCTGCAAACGAGATGTATAAGTCAGGGATCCCCAAACTTGGCAACTTCGAGCCTTGTGGATTTCACCTCCCAGAATTCCTCAGCCAGCATGATCTTAAAATTGCCCGTTTTGGAGACCCCTGGAACATGCAAACACAAAAAGCTAGGTTTTTTTTTTTTGTGCTGTAATGCCAACCTGTGTGTCATGTGCCCTCCTGACACAAGCGAGTGATAGGTGAGAAAATGTGGATTACTGGCACTGATATTTTTTTTGGTGGTGGTGGTGGGGGAAGCAGCAAACTTTCCAAAACAACAAGAAATCAGAGCCTGACAGCCTCAGTTTTGCTTTATGCGAAGGCCAAATTCTTTCCATTGTCCAGTTGCAAATCACCAGTTTTTGCTGCACAGATCAGAATGCTCAACAGCAAAGCTTTATTTGACAAAATACACCTGCACTGGGCACTCTTTCTAATCTTGCATTATAACTCAGAGACTTCAGTGTCTAGAAGAAGATTATATTCAGTGGGGAGAATTTGATGGCAGATACAGATACAGATTGATAGAGTTGGAAGGGACCTTGTAGGTCATCCAGTCCAACCCCCTTGCCCAAGCAGGAGACCCTATACCGTTTCCGACAGAGGGCAGTCCAGTCTCTTCTTGAAAGCTTCCAGGGATGAAGCTCCCACAACCTCCGAAGGCGACTTCTGATGGTTCTCACTTCACATTGTGGTCCCATATATTGAGTGTGCATATTATCATTCAATATCCTTAATTTCACACACTAATAGAAGAATGCTTAAGGTCATCCAATGCAGATTACAACCTGACACGAGGAAAAAAAAGTTCAACGTGGCTTTTGAAAAGGCTAAAAACATGAAACTTGATGGCAGGGGGAGGTAGGATAACTGAGAAGGAAACATTATCAAAGACATATCAGCATGCTACATTGAGAGTAACAGAAGAACAGCATTGGAAGGGACCTTGGAGATCGTCTAGTCCAGCCCCCTGCTGAAGCAGGAGACCCTATATACCCTTCCAGACCAACGGCTGTCCAGTCTCTTCTTCAAACCCTCCAGTGTTGGAGCAGCCACTGGTGGATTGCTCTCACTGTCGGGAAATTTCTTGGTGCTAAGCTGGTTTCTCCTGGATGAGTCTCTATTCGTCATTTCTTATCCTGCCCTCAAGCGCTCTGGAGAATCGGTTGCCCCCTTCCTCTTCTCTGGGGCAGCCCCTCAAATACTGGAATCTTCTCTCCCCCAGCAGTATTCCAATATTTGAGGGGCTGCCCCAGAGAAGAGGGGGGTTAAAAGGCCTCGGATTTGGTCGATCGTCTCAAGCTGTGGAATATATTTAAAAACGGGGATCCTAGAATTCCTCACTGTCCTCGTGCAAAACCTATTCAAAGATCAGGAAGGTCCCGGCAGTGGCCCTGAAAGCCTCGGGAGGTTGGTGAGCCAGGGTCCTTCCAGTCATTGCTTGGCCCTCTAACAAGGAGAGGGAGGAGGGCCCTGTCTGTCTGGGCAGAGACGAACCCCCCCCGCCCCCCCGTCTTCCCTTGCGCTACACCTTCCAGAGGCTCCTGAGCATTTGGAGGAGCCGGCCAGAGATCTCCTTGGTTTTCAGGCTGTAGAGGACGGGATTCATCAATGGTGGGAAGAGGATGTAGACGTTGCCCATGAGGGCATAGACCAAGGGCGGCGCATGCTGCCCAAACCGGTGTATGATAGACAGCCCAAGTGCAGGAGCACAGAAGACCAGGACAGCACAGAGGTGGGAGGCACAGGTGCTCAGGGCCTTGATGGGGCTGAGGCCGCTGGACGCCATGCCCAGGAGGGCCCTCAGGATCAGGCTGTAGGAAAGGAGGATGAAGAGGAGGTCTGAGCCCATGCTGAGGAAGATCAGGACCAGCACATAGAAGTTGTTGAAAGTGGTGTCGCTGCAAGCCGAGCGAATCAGGTCCTGGTGCAGGCAGTAGGAATGGGACAGCCTGGGGTGTGGGCAGTAGGGGAACCGGGCAAGGAAGAAGAAGGCGGGCAGTAAGGTCAGGGTGCTCCTCAGGAAGAGGGCGAGCCCAATTCGCAGGACCCGGGGGGTGCTCAGCAGCTCGGAGTACCTCAGGGGGTACCGGATAGCCACGAAACGGTCGACCGCCATGGCAAAGAGCACGGCCGACTCCATGAGGGCAAAGGCGTGGAGGAAGAAGGCTTGAGCAATGCAGGCCCGGCTGCTAATCTGCCTCAGGCGGAACCAGAGGACGCCCAGCACGGTGGGCAGGGTGATGGCACAGAGGCCCAAGTCGGTCGCAGCCAGCATGGCCAAGAACTGGTACATGGGCCTATGCAGGCTGGGCTCTACCCAGATGATGTAGAGGATGGAGGAGTTGCCCAGCACGGCCACCAAGTAGACGCAGAAGATGGTGGTGCCAATCCAGCCGTAGGCTGTCTCCAGACCAGGGAAGCCGCCCAGGGCAAACACCGCCAGGCTGACATTGGGGAGGGGAGCTGATGCCATGGCGAGTCACTGTGCGCGCCTGCCAGTGCCGTTCACGGATCTCCTAAGGCCCTTCCTGCTCTGCCCCCCAGGAGGTCCCAGCTTCGCCTCCCCTCCCCTCCCCTCCCCTCCCTGCCCTGGAGAGCTTCGTGCCTCCGATTGGGACCTTCCGTCTTCACCCTTCATCCCGGAAGGAAACCGGCCTCTCCGTAAGAGGCTGGATTCTCACACAGCCTCCTTGAGATTGTCCCTCCCAGAAGAACAGCCTGAACTCCGCCGCCTGGGGCCCTTGAAGACCCTGTGATGATCTCTCCCGGCTCCTCCTTGGGCCAGGAGGTGGACCCAGAAGCATCACCCCCTTCCCGGTTGTTAATTGTCCACTTCAGCCCATGCGGACCCGTCTCCTTCAAGGGAGCCAGAGATGCTGCGTGAGAGACTGGAAGGGGAAATGCCTTCCCCCACCCTCTTCTCCTTCTCCTCCTTCTCCTCCTCCTTCTTTGGATGAGATTTTCTCCTAGTGATGGTCGTTACCTGAGTTGCTAAAAGTCCTTATAAAGGGAGAGGGTGGCTGAGGGGAGGCCTCTGGGATTCTTCGGCCAAGAGTAGAGGGGCATCCATGGAGACTGAGATCTGCGTCTTGGCTCTCCGGGTTACGGCAGACGTCTCCCAGCCCTGGACCTCAGCTCAGGCGCCTTAGGCAGCCTCCCAGGTGAAGGAAGGGCCAGGAAACAGTCCCATCGCGGGAGTTTTCCAAGCATACAATGGATTGCTGAATCAGCCAGGCGGTCTACTGTTGGCCTCACTAAGCTGTTGCTGGAGCAACTCCCTCCCTCCCTCCTTCCTTCCTTCCTTGGCCATATACAGTTTTTGGGTGTCAGTTGTAACTTGGAAGGATGGCGAAGGTGGGAGAAGCCCTGCCATTCTCCTGCACGTCCTCTGCCCTTGGGTTGACCTTCCCCCAGAGGGCCACTCTGGGCCCATCTTAGGAACTGTCCAGGGCTGGGATTCAAATCTGGTTCTGTGGGCGTGGCCGTGTGACTGGGTGGGCATGGCTCTTTTGGCACCAACCCCCCCTCCCCCATTTTTTGCACCTTCTGGGCCTCAGGGAAGCCTCCTGGGTGAAGCAGGAAGACAGCGAGGGGAATCCCAGCACGGCTGATCATAGGAACAGCTGATTGTCGGGAGGGGAACAAAGAAAGACCTTAAGAGGTGACTGGGTGGGGGAGAATGCAGTCAACCATGTCGGGCATGTGCGCAATGCTGCACATGCGCGATAAGGACTGACTGGGCAGGGAGGGCAGAGCCAGCCAGGGGCACAATTTGCCGGTTCTCCAAAGTGCACAGAACCATAACAACCGGTTCTATAGGACCGGTCCGAACCGGTAGAATCCTACCCCTGGGACTGTCCATAAAAAATTAAAACTTAGTTGTCCTCCTTGTCTTGGCATAGGAAGGGGGGGGGGGGTGAGTCCCTGTGCTTTAGAGTGTATGTGGGGGAGGGCAGGACTATGACCCGGAGGTGGCCTTCTGGTCTTCTGGTCACCTATATTATTCTATTACTTATGATGTGCTATTTGCCTTCTGATCTCAGGGATGCGGTCAGCGCTTTGGTCAATTTGAGAGCCCAGACGGATGATATTCCTTCAGTGTTTTGATTTTGACTGCTGACCCTGATTTTCGGGGTGCGGGGGGGAGGAAAGCAGCAAATATCACAGAACGAAAAATCACAGCCTGACATTTGGCTATTGATTCAAGCGAGGTGTGGTGGAGTGGTGGCTTAAACATATTAGAGGAGGCCTGTGCTCCAGGGGTTCGAGTCCCAGCACCATGGGACGGGATGAGCTCCCAGTACTTGCCTCAGCTTCGGCCAACCTAGCTGTTTGAAAGCACGTTACAGCAAGTAGATGAATAAGTGCCACTTTGATGGGAAAATAATGATGTTTCATGCAGTGGAGTGAATCCCGCTGGGGCTGAAGCGGTGGAGGGGAAAAGCCCCAGATGACGCTGTAGAATGCCACCGGTCAGTTTGAACGCGGAGCTAGTTCCTCCCCTGTGGGTGCAGGGTGGATGGAGGAGGAGCAGGAACGTCACTGCCATAAGCTAAATCAGGGGTCTTCAAATCTGACAGCTTTCAGACTGGTGGACTTCCACTCCCAGAATTCCTCCTCCTCCAGTCATGTCAGCTCAGGAATTCTGGGAGTGGAAGTCCACCAGTCTTAAACTTGTCAAGTTTGAAGACCTTTGTGCTAAATAAATAAATGTTGGTTCAAATTGCACTGGGTAAAATGAACTGGAAAATAACAGGACAACACCCAATTTTCAGTTAGGTGCTAACAAGAAGGTGTAGATGATACCAAACTTGCAGTTGTCCCCTGTTTCAGTAAAATGGTGGAACCCCAAAGGAAAGATTTGCACGGACTTTTTCAGTCTACCATTCCTTCCTCTGGAGTTACTCCCTTTCAATGGAGACGGACGAGTTCAGGATCGGAAGCCGTGATGAGGTCTCCAGGGAGCACAAAGCACACATAGAATCTCTGTCAACCTACACAAGCTTTATTGTTCACAATTTCTTCTGCATCATACGTGGGTACAGAGCGCATACAGAGACATGTTCACTTGCTCTGCTATGCTCAGGCCCAGGGATTTCCCAAGAACTGGGGAAGAGCGGAGCGTCTTCTGCAGATGACAGGGATGTCCACGGATTGGGGTCTTCAACAGCTTGTCCTCTTTCCCTTTGCCCAAAGCCTCCCTCACATATTCCTTTTCACATCACCTCAGCTTTTCTTTTCTTTTTTCCCAATAAATTTTTATTATTTTCCACCAGTACAAATCTCAGTTACTTTTTCAACAGTATTGACATCCACATATATTATCTTATACTTTAACATCTATTCGTACTTATCTTAATCTATATTATCTTTGTTTATCATTAATCATCAATACATATTGCCTTTATATTACAGTTATTATTATACATCTTTAATATTGGCTTATTCCTTTAACATCTATTCATACCTATCCTTAATACCTATGATCCTTATTTATCATTAATCATTAGTACAGGTTACTTTTATATCACACCTCAGCTTTTCAGTGACAATTGCTGGGTCATTTGTGACTCACTGCATGGCAGTTAACGGTTAACCTTCTTATGACTGGTGGTGGTTCTGTGATCATTGTCTGATCTTGATGGGTGCTGTTTCTGTGACCTTCTCCGTGGCAATTCTGACCTTTGGGAGCAAGGACCCAGGCCTGGTCCAGAGGCCCGCTTGGTTTGGCTGCGTTGGATCTGCCTGGTTCCTTCTGAGCAGGCCCCTCACAAGCTCATCGCAAGCAGGATTTGAGCACAAAGGCTCCCATCCACTCGGCACATCTGCACCTATCCTTCCATTCACCTCCTCCTCCCAAGATCTTATTTCTGGCATAAGCAATCAAGGTGACTGGAGGAAATTCAGTTCTAAATCTGGTGATGGTACATTTTGACAGCACTGGTAGCCAAGGCAGTTTCTCCATTTTTTGCCTGTGTGCCCTGGGGGGCCTCTGGAAAAGGGGGCCAAGCCTGCCGTGCAGCTGAGGCCCCCTGGGGCAGCCTACAAGCGCGGGATCCCCAACCGGTCCCACAGTCCAGCTGCAGCTAAGCGGGCAAGAAGGAGATCTGGGGAGCAGATTCAGACAGACCTGGATTGGACCAGGACCTTGTTTGGGAGGAACACTCTGATGACCTGGTTCCGAATCTCCTTGGTTCTCACTCCGTATACGATGGGATTCAGCAAAGGAGGAAAGAGAAGGTAAAAGTTGGCCAGGAGGATGTGAACGTGGGGGGCCACGTTGTGGCCAAAGCGGTGGGTGAAAAACGAGAAGAGGGCTGGGCTGTAAGATATGGTGATGACACAGAGGTGGGAGCCACAAGTGCCGAAAGCTTTCAGCCTGGCCTCGCTGGAGGAGAGGCGCAGCACTGCACGGACAATGAAGAAGTAAGAGAGGCCGATGCACAGAAGGTCCCCTCCAATGACAATCAAGGCCACACTCAGCCCATAAAGACTGTTGATCCTGGTGTCCCCACAGGCCAACTTCACCACCGCCATGTGCTCGCAGTAGGTATGGTGGATGACGTTTGTCCGACAGAAGGACAGCCTTTTGATCAGGAAAGGACACGGGCACATCAGCAGGGTCCCCCTGACAACCGCCGCGATCTCCATCTTGGCAACTAGGGAGCCGGTGAAGAAAGAATTGTATCTGAGAGGGAAGCAGATGGCCACGTAACGGTCTACGGCCATGGCCAGCAGCACCGCCGACTCCATCATACACAAAGCATGGATGAAGAACATCTGGGTCAAGCAGGCATTAAACTGGATCTCCCCAGCCTGGAACCAGAAGATGGAAAGCATCTTGGGCAAGGCAGAGGTGGTGGCTGCCAAGTCGATAGTAGACAGCATGCAGAGGAAGTAGTACATGGGCCTGTGGAGGGCCGGTTCTGAGACAATGACGAGTAAAATGATAGAATTCCCAGCAATAAGGATCACATAGCCAGCGCAAACGGCCACGGAGAACCAGAGGTGGTAGGCCTCCAGCCCCGGGATGCCATGCAGCACAAAGAGAAAGGACCAGGAGTATGTCAAGTTGCCCATCCTTCAGGTCATCCCAGGTGCACCTATCGCTTTGGCCACCAGCTTCACTGGAGATCGTAACACCTGTCAATCAGAGCAGAGAAAGAGGCAGAGGATGAAGACGGTCACTGGGAGTGGAGGCTCCAAGCTTCCAGCCTCTCATTGGAGCCCATCCTTGGGGACTCCTCTCTCTCTCTCTCTCTCCCCAGGATGTATGCACTGAGCTGTGTCTAGTATTTACGTGGCGGTGCCTGGCTGGGTGTGGCTTTTAGTTGAGAAAGTTCAGAGCTGCAGGAAAGCCAGAATCTTTGTAGCTCAGGGTTGCAGTGAGGCTGCTCTCGGAGCTTGGCTGTTTTCCTGCAAGTGTTTCATTACCAAACGAGGCAACATCGCTGGAAAATGTGCAGAGCAAAG